GGCCGACCCCTCAACCAATGAAAGGACGAGCGCCACGGCCAGTGAAGTTGAATCGGGAGCAGCGCATGAGGCAGGGGCTTTGCCTGAAATGTGGGGAGCGGGGCCATTTTGCGGCCGATTGCAGCGAATCGGGGCCTGGGAAACGGGCCCGTTGAATCAACCTGAGTGCGCCCCGCCCCGCCAGCGAAGAAGGCGACTGGGAAGCCAAAATATGCCAAAGCGTTGCAAGCAGCTCCCGAGGAAGGAGAGGTGGAATCCAGCGGAGAGGACCCCGAGCCGGTGGGAAATGGATTGGTCCTGCTGTAAGAGGCGCGGAGCAGCAGGGTCCGATCCTGGAGGCGCCTAATGTGGTGAGCAGTTTTTCCTCCCTCTTTTTCGTGACTGTGACTTTGATTAAACCCAGCCTTGGCACGCATATATGGGTGAGAGCCTTAATTGACTCAGGGTGCGGGAGGGACCTTATCAACCCCTTCCTAGTTACTGGATTGGAGGCTGGGGTGGTGAAATTAAAAGACCCCCTGATCTTCACCCAAATGGACGGCTCTACAATGAAAGACCCACGTGAGTACGAGACTGTGCCGTTGCGGATTGGGGCTGGGGAACACTGAGAGAATAGAGCATTTGTGATCACCTCGACCACCAGGTTCCCTTTAGTCCTCGGGGCCCCATGGTCGCACGGACACGACCCCTACATCTTGTGGGACGAAGAGAAAGTACAGTTCATTTCTCCGAAGTGCCAGAGCCACCAGTGGGACCGAACTGGGGCCAACAGCCCATAGCGGAGGGACCTCGTGTGTGCCTGGCTCGTGAGGAGCTTTTAACCATTCCCCCCGAGTATCTGGACTTGGCTAGAATGTTTGAGGAGGAAGAAGCGGATGAGCTCCCTCCTCACCGACATTCAGACCGTAGCATTGAACTGTTGCTGGGGCAGAAATTGCCAAAGGGCCGCATTTGTGCAATGGGACCAGCCAAAAAGGGAGAACTGCGCAAGTTCATTGACAAGATCTGACCGGCTTCATCCCCCAGTGCTATTCCGAAAGAAAAAGGATGGGGGGCTAAAACTCTGCATGGATTACCGGGGCTTAAATGCAGTGTCATCTACTAACGCCTACCCCATGCCTTTGATTAAAGACTTGCTCGCGGAAGCGGCCAAAGGGAAAATATTCTCCAAACTAGACCTTCGAGATGCCTACTTCCAGGTATGCATCAGGGAAGGGGACGAACATAAGACTGCTTTCAACACCCCCCTGGGTCAATTCGAATACCGGGTAATGCCTTTCGGCCTTCAGGGGCTCCCGGGGGTCTTCATGAACTTAATCAATGAAGTATTACACAAGCACTTGTTCAAGGGGGTGCTTGTTTACCTTGATGATATCTTGCTGTACTCCCCCAACCTGCCTTCCCACGTGAAATTGGTGAGGGAGGTCTTAACCACGTTGCACAAGCACAACCTGTTTGCCAAACTGTCCAAATGTGAATTTCACAAAACGCAAATTGACTTCTTGGGGTATCGGATCTCTGACCAGGGCCTGAGTATGGACCTGGGGAAGGTAAAAGATGTGGTGGGTTGGGAGGTACCCAAAACCAGACGACAGCTCCAATCCTTCCTCGGTTTTGCGAATTTTTGCAGAACCTTTTTACCCAACTTTGCCCAGGTCAGCTTACCCCCCACAGATCTCTTAAAAACTAAGGGGAAGGGCCCGGAGGCAACAAAGCCGAGCGCCACGCTCCCATGGAGCAATGAGTCCCAAGACGTGTTCGACCGCCTAAAGGCCTTATTCACCTCAGAACCGGTGCTCGCTCACCCAGATAAAATGAAAACATTTATTGTGCAAACTGATGCGTCTGATGTCGCTATGGGAGCGGCAGTATTACAAGAGGGGGAGGATGGCGTGTTGCACCCCTTAGCTTACGTCTCCAAGAAATTCAATGACACCGAACGTAACTGGTCAGTTTGGGAAAAGGAGGCGTTGGCTGGAGGGGCCGAGGGTCCTGTTCGAGGTATGGACGGACCACAAGAACCTTGAGACTCTCAAAATGCCCCGGTGCCTCAACGCCAAACAACTCCGATGGGCTGATTTCTTTTCCAAGTTTCAATTCACTTTGCACCATTTCCCAGGTTCGGCTAACTTGTTGGCCGACGCCCTGTCCCGCCTTCCCCAACAAGAGAGCCAACGGGATGTCGTCCTGGACTCGGTGTTCACGCCCTCACAGTTGGGCAATGCGGTGACGATGCGCAAACAGGCTCGCCTGGCTGCTCCACCCCCTGCGCCACCCCCAAAGGGACCTACTGGGGCGGGCGAGGGGGGAAAAGACTCTTGCCACAGTAAATTCGCCTCTGCTTTTTCGGAGGAGGATAAAGCCGTTATGGAAGCAGAGGGGGACTTTGAACTAAGGGAAAATGGCTGTTGGTACCAGCGTCCTAAGATGTTCGTTCCTCTCTCCCTCAGGGGGGAGGTGTTGCAGGCAATGTATGGCTCCAAACTATCAGGACATTTGGGTTTTGTTAAATCCCTGCAACTGCATCAACGGCAGTTTTGGTGGCCCCATATGTGCAAGGACCTGTCTTTGTTTGTTCAATCGTGCCAAGTTTGCGCAATGAGTAAACCTCGACCAGGGAAACCCCCGGGCCTATTGCACCCCCTTCCGACCCCGAGTCGACCCTGGGAAATCATTTCAATGGATTTTATAACTGACTTATCACCCAGTAAATCTATGACTGTAATTTGGGTGGTTGTGGATCTCTTTTCCGAACAAGCACACTTCATCCCGTTCACTTCATTACCTATGGCCAAAGCACTTGCAAAAGCGTTCCTCATGCATGTGGTGAGACTACATATGCTACCCACTAAAGTGGTATCCAACAGGGGAACCCAATTTGTCTCTCGGTTTTGGGGTGAGCTGATGAAACTGATGGGGGTCGAACGTGAACTAAGTAGCACTTACCATCCAGAGACTGACGGTCAAACGGAAAGAGTTAATCAAACCTTGGAACAATATTTGCGTTGTTTTGCCAACTATCAACAAGACAATTGGCATGACTTGTTGCCCCTTGCAGAATTCTGTTATAATAATACTTGTTATTCTTCCACGGGGATTTCCCTGTTTAAGGCACTGTATGGTTATGACAGCCCGCCTGTCCCATTCCTGGAAGGGGATGCGGATATGGGGTCGGGGGACGCTGCTCAATGGTGTAAACAATTGTGGGACTCTTGGCCTCTCCTGTGTAAGACTTTGACAGCGGCCAAAGAAGCATATAAGGTGCAGGCTGATAAGAGAAGGGTGGAGGGTTGGGCTGTACAGCCTGGTGACTCTATGTATGTTTATACCAAAAATTTCAACATGTTGCGACCTAGTCGGAAGTTGGGATGGAAATACATTGGCCCATTTAAAGTTAAACGTATCATCAACGATGTTACAGTGGAAGTGGACTTGCCGAAAAATTTGAGAAAATTGCATTCTGTATTTCATTTCAGCCTCCTGGAGATACGGGTTCCTGTCCCTGGCGTCCAGTGAAACCGGTGCTCCCTCCTATTATGATTGAGGGTGAAGAGCATTACGAAATATCACGGATTCTGGACTCTAAAATCAAACGGGGAAAATTGCTGTATTTGGTTGAGTGGGTGGATTTCGGACCCCAGCACCTCGAATGGGTGGAAGTAGGGGATATTCGGGCCCTTGACCTGTTGCGGCAGTTCCATCAGGAGTTCCTGGACAAACCGGGAGACCTCCCAGAATGGTCGGGAGAAGCTGATTTTTGAGAGGGCAGTATGTCAGCTATGCTGCCATGGGGGTTGGGGAGTTCATTCTGTGTCTTGGTAATTGCTATTGCATTCCTATCTCTGCTGTTCTGCCTGTGCTGAAATGCTTATCTCTACAGATGTGCAGGAGGAGGTTGTATTGTCTGGAAGTCTCCGATGTACCGTGAGAGACTACTGCTTCCCAGCTTTCACCACCTAACGGTTTCCTAGCTGGTCCGTGCCATGGGGGAGCCAGCATTCCGTGCTGTTTAGTCATGTCGGCCATATGACCACAGAAACGTCTTCGGACAGCGCTGGCTCTTCAGCTTTGAAACGGAGATGAGCACCGCAACCCTAGAGTCGGATTTGACTGGCTTTTGAGCAAGGGAACCTTTACCTTTTATGGGGGGGGGGGGGCACACAGATGCCCTATATCCTATTATGCTCAATGGGTTGCCGCCATTCTTAACAGTGCCTGTGCTACTGCATCTATAGCTTTGCAATAAAAGTATAACCATTCCTGAATGCGTGTACTTCGTTGTAAGCTGTGGGTTCTGACAGCCACGCCCACATGTCAGCTAAGGTCCAATCAAATTCAGTACATAAAGACTAATCACTTTGCTTTCCTCCAGAACTTCCTTTGTTCTGATAGGTCTATTTACAATACCTTGGTCAGGCTCAAGCTCATGCATTTCTTTACATTACATTACATACACAACAAGTTCACTGAAAAAGAAAGTCCTTGAAAGTACGAATGATCAGGCTAGCCGTAGTTTATCAAAGCTCAAAGCATGATACAGGCACTTATCTTAAAGCCAGATAAAAGAAGAGGTCTGCTCAGGACGCCATCTTGACTCAGACCATAGCAGATGGTCTTTTGGAACTGACTTTCAGCTCCCCCATTGTACTATATGGAACTCTGGTTTCATCCAGCTAGGCAGGCCTTTTGTTTCTATTGGGACGCTGGTGGGAATGTTGCTGATCGTTCCTTGAAAGCACAAAGACTAGAAGGGGAATTTGACAACTTTGAATTCCGTGCCATGGACCTTCTGAAAATGGCTTTGGGTATCCCTTGTTACGAGGTCAAGCTGTTGCTTTTCTTGGTGCCCATCACTGATCTGTCTGCTTGGGTCTCCAGTTGAAGTCTTGCGGGCTCTGCTTCCTTTGGGGCAGGAGGGTGGGAATGACATCATTTTTCCTGGGGTTCCCAGGAGCCATACCACTCATGTGGAAAGGTGTTCTTTTGCTCTTTTACTGCAGTGCATGCTGGTCTTCATCACTGGTGGCCTGGTTATCCTGGCCTACTGCTCCCAGGCTAGCAATGAGTCCACGTACCAGGAAGTGGTGTGGGCTGTGTGTGGGAAGGTTACGGGGATCCTGTGCGAGGTGGCCATCGCCGTCTACACATTCGGCACCTGCATTGCCTTCCTCATCATCATCGGGGATCAGCAGGATAAAAGTGAGTGCTCGTTATGGGGAGTGTGGAGCGGGGGTGGTCTGCTACATGGTTGCTTTTTGGGGGGAGGCGCTAAGCCCCTCTCGCCTTCTGCTTCAGGAAGGTTGTGCAGTTCCCATGGGAGATAGAACTTCCATGCTATGGAACTCCCTGCCTCTCAAAAGCCTCCCTGGTTACTTTTGTAGCAGGGGTAGCTTCACCCTTGCAATACTAGTTTGTGTAGTGTCCAGTTTGGTGCAGTGGTTAGGAGCAGGGACTCTTATCTGGGAGAAGCGGGTTTGATTCTCCACTCCTCCACATGCAGCTGCTGGTGTGACCTTGGGTCAGTCATACATTTTTTCAGAGCTGGTCTCAAGGGCAGATCTCTCAGAGCCCTCTCAGCCCAGCTACCTCACAGGGTGTCCGTTGTTGGGAGGGAAAGGGAAAGGAGATTGTAAGCCGCTCTGAGACTCCTTTGGGTAGTGATGGGTGGGGTATAAATCCAATATCTTCTTCTCCTTCAGTGCACCAAGTGGCTGGCACATACCAGGGCACTTCCAGAGAGCCAGTTTGGTGTAGTGGTTAAGTGCGCAGACTCTAATCTGGGAGAACTGAGTTTGATTCCCCACTCCTCCACTTGCACCTGGCTGGATGACCTTGGGCAAGCCGTAGTTCTGTGGGTTCTTGAAAAAGAGCAGTTTCTGTCAAGAGCTCTCTCAGCCCCACCTACCTCACAGGGTGTCTGTTGTGGGGAGGGGAAGGGAAAGGAGTTTGTAAGCCGCTCTGAGACACCTTTGGGTAGTGAAGGGCGGGGTATACATCCAATCTCCTCTCTTCTTCCTTTTCATTAGAAACACACACGGCAGGACTCGTGATTTATTTATTTATTTATTCGACTTGTAGCGTGTCCTCCCCTGAAGGGCTCAGGGCAGTGCACAACATTTCAATAAATACATATATTTAGTCAGTTATAAATAAACTGATTTAAATCTAAAACAGTGAAAACGCTAACAAGTCACAAACTGATTCAGATGGCGTGGAGTATCAATTTATGCCTTTCCCCTCATGAGGGGGGTGGGGAGGAGTAGAGGAGGCCAGGCATGATGACAGACTGTTGCTGTCCTCAACCATGGGCCCGGCGGGACATCTCTGTCTTACAGGCCCCATGGAACTGCATCACGTCCCACAGGGCGGAGATGTCCTTAGGCAGAGTTCCACCGCACTGGTGCCAGGGCCAAAAAGGCCTTGGCTCTGGTTGAGGACATCCAGATATCTTTCGGGCCAGGGATCACCAAGAGGTTTTCCCCAGAATGCAGTGCTCTTCGGGGGGGGGGGTCTACCAGGATTTATGATGTATTTATTTGAATATTTATACCCTGCCTTTCCTCATGGCTCAAGGGGGCTTACAGTGATAATTAAAACACTGCAAGTTAAAACCAAAATAATAGAAAATAAAACAAAAGCAAGGTATACCCATTACTTGCTGGGTCCAAGTGGGCCTAGGGGATGATGCCAGTGACATGTAGGCAAGCGCCAGCCTGGCAGGGATGCAAACCTGTGAGCTGGTGTGGTGGTTAGAGAATTGGACTAGGATCTGGGACACCCAGGTTCGAATCCCCTGTTCGCCATGGAAGCTTGCTGGGTAGTCTTGGGCCAGTCACCCACTCTTAGCCTAATCTACTGCACAAGATTGATGTGAGATTAAAATGGAAGAGAGTTATGTAAGCTGCTTTGTGTCCCCATTGGGGAGAAAAATGGGGTAGAAATGAAGTAGGTAAAACAAATAAAATGTCTGCTGCTACGCATGGGCACGTTTTCCACCCAAGTCTCCCTAGTGCCTGCTCAAGGCTGCTGAGTGAGCTGAAAAACTGGTAGTCCTATGACTGTCCCATTGTTAGCTGGTTTGCAACTCAAGTTCTTTCTTGTGCTACAGTCACTCCTCATTCTGGATTGTGAGGGCAACTGTACAGGAAGGCCCTGGCATTACTCCAGCCTTGTTTGGGGGCTGGTTTGAGCACTTCCCATTCTTCTGATTCCCCGCTGGCTGTAGTTGTTAGTAGGAAGGATCTCAGCTTTTGGGCTTCCCTGGCCCAGCATCTGGAGTCCTCAGCTTTCTGCTATTAAAAAAGGTCCCCTGTCTTCCACTCCAGATGTCTTATTTCTCTAGACACAGAGCTTGAGGTTTGCATCAAAGTGCTTTCTTTTCCTCATGTTCTGCCCTGAGCTCTTGATGCTCAACCTCCTTTGCTAGCAAGAAGATTTCCTTGGTGAGGTTGTCTTCTCTTGTCTCCTTGGCTAGTCATTGCGGCACTGATGACGGAACCCTCCGGAGCAGAGAGCAGCCACTGGTACACGGACCGCAAGTTCACCATCAGCATCACGGCCTTCCTGCTCATCCTTCCCCTTTCGGTTCCTAAGGAGATTGGGTTCCAGAAATATGCCAGGTACCTGCAGGACGAGGAGGGGAAGGACCGGACAGATGAGTGACTGGCTTCCAAGCAGGGATTGTTTTGTGGTCTGCACAGTTATCACACAAGGGAGAACCTTTGGCCAATCTTCACAGAATGAAGAATGCTGGCCACCCTGGTCGGTCCTGATGGGGCAAGGCGGGCCCAGTTGCTGGGTGTGTCTCAGACTTGGAGGAAGGACCCGTTAAGCTAAACAGGTCCGCTGAAGAACAGCATCGGGTGCTGAATTCTTTGTAGCCGCGTGCCTCTGGCATTTCCCCTGAATAGCAGCTGCTGACTGGGAACAGTTGGAACTTAGCTTTCAAGAGATGGTCAGCAATGGCAGGGCCCAGCGAGAGTAACTTCCTGTGACACAGAACTCTTTGCAAGCATCATTCCCTTGAGCTTGCATGATGGAAGGTGGGGTGATTTGTGCAGGATTAGCCTTCCAGTAGCATAGGAATTCCTGGGTTGCTGTAGGTGGGTGGAAAATAAGGTTTGAACAGTCAGGGAGCCATCAAAAGGGGGTGCTGTATACAGCGGGGAGGGTCCTGCTTCTGATCCCCACATGCATCCCTATCCCACGTATGTAGGTGAGATCTATATTCTAAAGCAGCAGCACTGACTCCATAATGCATGGAGAGCTGCATGTATTATTACCGGCAACCCAAAGCATTGCTTCATCCCTACCATGAATCCTGCAACAAATGGAGGCTCACACTTTACCCATTCTTCTGGCAGCAGCTGTTTTAAGGTGGGACCCACCTTCCAACCACAAACCCCACTAGACAAGGGCCTTGCCCACTTTCCTGAAACATGGGGCAGGTGCCCTATGGGGGAATGGTGCTCAGGTAGCATGGCAAAACGCCACATGTGGCTCCTGAGCCACTGAGTACCACTGTTCTAAAGTATCACCTTTCATGAGGCCAGAATAAGAGCTGGGCAGTGTCTGTTGCATGCAGGTGCACTGTGTACCCATGAGATCTCTTTATTCACCATTGCTAACAGTGGTGGCCTCGGAGAGCACAGCACAAGGGTGGGAAAGCTGGCCTGTCAGGAGGCTGGTACTTAAGCAAACGAGTCTGAGACCACTTTGCCCAGGACGAGCCTCGACGCCGTAGAGTCCATGCACTGGAGGCCATTGCCCTCCGTTTAGATCCAGGGGTGATGCTACCATTCTGAATTCCCACTGGTCCCAGCATCCTTGGAAGGAGGCGGTAGCATAGCTCTGTAACCTTTCCCCAACCTCCCTCTCCCTCAGCTGCTTGAGTGTGATCGGGACCTGGTATGTCACCGCCGTCATCATTGTCAAATACATCTGGCCGGATCCAGAGGTCATCCCAGGGGAAATCCCAACCAGGTAAAACGGGAGTGGCGGTTCTTTAAACAGAATGGGGGAGACCTTTAGGGGAGCCAGCCTGGAGATTTAACCAGCTGGTCATTATTTCGTACACAAAGGCAGAAGGCGGTGTCTGATCTTCACTGGTGTGCCTAGAACAAGCGAGTCTCCAATTTAGACATAAACTGGAGTTAGAAAATGCTTACAGTTCTCAGGTGGCCAACAGACACCCCAGCCATGGGGCCTTTCCTGTGTCCCAGTGCCATCTTGGTGCATGGAACCCTTCCCTTCGCAGCCCTCCTTCCCCGCTCAGTGGGTGGTTGCCTGGCGCTGATCCATAGGGACTGGGAGGGGGTAGCTTCCCCTATTCAGGAGCTGCATAGAAAGGTCACAGAGGTCAGAACAAGTGAAAGAAGGCCAGGTTAGGAATGATCTATGTAAGAAATTGTATGCCTACTTAATCCTAAAGATGAACATGTGCATTTTGATGTAGATAGATCTCATTGGAGAAGCCCGTCCCGTGTGTCAAGAGGATCTGCTGTCTTGATTATAGCATTAATCTGGATCTTGACAGTTCAGAATCTGGGAATTTCTAGGCCCTGGTAAATGTTCGGTACAGACACATTGTATGAGAAAGGTTCTCAGCAGGCTTATGTTTTCCTCTCCACAGCCCCTCCTCCTGGATGTCTGTGTTCAATGCTATGCCCACCATTTGCTTTGGCTTCCAGGTAACGCTTGTCTGAGGGTCATGGAGGGGTGGAAGCTGATGGGGGCCAGGAAGATGCCTCCATCTCTCCTGGCTGTCTTTGTCTCCCTTTGTGTTAGTCCCCAGTTAACTGGATTGATGTTTTAATTTTATTTATTTCTGACTTCGTTTATACCCTGCCCTTCTCCCCAGTGGGGACTTAAGCAGCTGACATCCTTCTCCTCTCCTCCACTCTGTGAGGTGGGCTAGGCTGAGAATGTGTAGCGTGCCCAAGGCAACCGAGTGAGCCGACGTGATGACAGAGCGGGGATTTGAACTGGGTCTCCCAGGTCCTAGTGCAGCCCTCTAACCAGTATACCACATTGTCTCTCTTTTCTTGTTGCTGTGGTTTTATGCAGATGAAGCAGAACAATGCACTTTGTCTTTCAAATAACACAGTCAGGTTATAAGCAATCACTGAACTCTGTTTAATGCAGTCAGCCTATGATAGGCTGACTACTTCCAAAGTGGGCATGACAGTTCCCCCCCCCCCCCCCCCCCCCGCCCCAGTCCCGGGCATCAGCCTTTACCGACTAGCATCGCCTCCATGTCCTGAAATGAAGACTGTAATTATCACTCTGCTGAGCTGAAGTCATAGACCAGAATGAATTGCTTTAAAAATGACAAGGAACTCACTGAGTTGGTGTTTGGATTCTAACCATAGAGTGCAACACCTTTGCAAACATAGAGTGAAATGGGAGGTGGCAAAAAAAGGGGCTTTTACCCTGATCTTGTCAGATCTCGGAAGCTAAGCAGGGTCAGCTCTGGCAAGTACTCGGATGGGGGACCTCCTTGGAATACCAGCAGTCAGGAGGCGGGGGCAAGCTTTATTCAGCCACCTCTCTGAATCTCCCCCAGGCCCCCAGTAGGGGTCAGTAGCCGGAGGTCGCCATGACTTCCAGGTGTACATGCACACACACACACACATACACACACACACACACACACACACACACACAAAATATGAATAAATACCCTCCCCCCAAAATGGGAGAGGGGGGCTTTTGTTCATCCTGTGCTGTTACGGTCTGCCAGATAAATTCTGCATATCTTGGAAGCTTGCATCCTTTTTCATTCAAGCAGCGTTCTTGCCTCACCTGTTTAGTATCTCCCCTTATCCCTGGCAGTGCCATGTCAGCAGTGTGCCCGTCTTCAACAGCATGAAACAACCGGAACTGAAGCCCTGGGGAGCAGTAGTGACAGCTGCCATGATCATTGCCCTTTTTGTCTACACAGGCACAGGTAGGGAATCAGACCTTGTCAGGTGCATTTCCCATAGCTGCTCCTTATGCTCTGGAAAGGAGGATGGGAGACGGGAGGTGCCCGAGACTTCTGAGCACCAGTAGAGACCCCAGGGGCTCCTGTTCCTGTACTGGGGAGAGTGGCTGACTGCTAGAGCCGTGGTCTTTCCTCCTGTGTCATGGTGGATCCTTCTTGTCTTCGTTTCCCACCAGGAGTCTGTGGTTTCCTCACCTTTGGTTCTGGTGTAGAACAGGATGTGCTCCTCTCCTACCCCTCCAATGACATTCCAGTTGCCATAGCACGAGCCTTCATCATTGTCTGTGTTTTGACGTCCTACCCCATCCTGCACTTCTGTGGCAGGTGAGCACACCGGGAGGAATCTGCAGGAGCTGCCAGTGGAATTGCGACCCTCATCGCAGGGAATATCGCCAGACACGTGCCAGGCTCCCAGGGAGCTTCTGCCCTGGACCTGTGCCTTGGGCCTGATGGAAGGAAGTCCTGATGATGCGTTTTGTTTTCGCTTCCTGGCTAGGGCTGTCCTGGAAGGTCTTTGGCTGCGCTACAAGGGAGAGACTGTGGAAGAAGACGTGGTGCGAGAAAGACGCCGCCGCCTGCTCCAGACAGTTACCTGGTTCCTTCTTACTCTCCTCCTTGCCTTGTTCATTCCCGATATCGGCAGAGTCATCTCTCTCATTGGTGGGCTGGCTGCCTGCTTCATCTTTGTCTTCCCAGGTAAGGGGGCTTCCCTGACGGTACCCTTAGGACACTGAGGGGAACCCTCAAGGGATAGTAGCCCTGTTCACAAGTTACAGTGCACATACGTACAATCCGTATACAGCGTACACTTGATTGCTGCTTATATGTATGTTGAGGAATCTTCTTGTTACATTCAACACATGTACCGCTGAATGTGTTATACAAAACTTATACTTACTCAGGTGCTGGATCCTGGTTTCATTTGTAAAGTGAACATTTGTTGGCTGTTCCTTACAAACAAATATACCTGCGTTCACTGTAACATGAACAGGGCTATTGGGGGGGGTTGGTAGGAGGAGGCTTCCTTGTGTGCAAAATTCTGGAGAGCCAGTTTGGTGTAGTGGTTAGGAGCACTGACTCTAATCTGGGAGAAGCGGGTTTGATTCCCCGCTCCTCCACATGCAGCTGTTGGGTGACCTTTGATCAGTCACAAGTTCTTTCAGAGCTTTTCTCTGAAGACCAGTTCTCAGAGCTCTCATCAGCCCCACCTACCTCACAAGGTGTCTGTTGTGGGGAAAGGAAGGGAAGGAGATTGTAGGCCTCTCTGAGACTCTGAGTGAAGGGCGGGGTATAAATCCAATCTCTTCTTCTTCAAAAGGGTGTTGTCTGACAACAGGGAGCCAGAGAGACTCTTGTTTGTCTGCTCTTGGCAAAAACTCCCTCTCTGTTTTCCCTCTGCAACTTGATAATCTTCTTCGTGGTCTCTGTGCATCACACCCTTGGGATATCCAGCGCCTGCGCTGACCCTCTTCAGTATCGTTAGAAAGCAAAAGGGATTTTCGTGCCCATTCCCTGGTCACGTGCCGGGCTGCACTGCGCATGACCAAGGAGGGGCACGCAGATCCCACCAGTTCTTTCCTGACCGCCACGCTGGTAGGACGCCTTGCTTCGGTCAGTAAAGTACTTGGCTTTGGCCTAGTTATTCCTTGCGTTAGTTAGCTTTTCCTTTATTTTTTCTTCTTAGTTTAATTTTTCATTCGGGTTCAACTTCTTTGAGAATTTCCCCCCCCTCTTCGCTGGCCTATGGCCGCGCATTGGGGCTTCTTTAAACGGTGTGAGTCCTGTGGACTTAAAATTTCCCCCTCTGACGGACATTCTTGCTGTTTACTGTGCCTCGGGGAATCGCACCGTGTTCAATCATGTCCTCATTGTTGCAAGTTTTCGAAGCAAACTCTAAAAAATAGAACTGCTCGACTGCACATGGCACTCATGGAGAAAGCTCTTTCTCCACGATCTTCTTCTCTTCTGGAGACGTCTGGACATGCATCGATGTTCATGCAAGTATGGGATGTTCCTATTCCCGCGTCGGGAACTTCGACGTCGACTGACGGCATTGATGTATCGGCGCCGAAACATTCGATACGGACACACAGGGCCGATATCTCCGTACCTTCCAAGATCCGGAAGCAGGGGACAGACACAAAAGCTAAGCACAAGAAACACAAGAAGGGCTCGAAGATCCAGCCCCTTAAAGTTACTTTTGCTGTGTCTGCTAGTCAAGGTCGTGCTCCAGCTGCAAGCCCTCTTGAACAAGGCCAGCCTGTCGACTCCGATCCAGATGTGGATCTCACTCAACCGACACCGTTGTCAGATATTGACCTCGACCGTCAGTCGCTTCCGTGCTCACCGTCGCACAGCACAGAAGATCGGCACCAGCCACAACCTTTGCCTCCATTGACCTGGGATCAGCGCCAGTGGCGATACTTTATGGCAACTATCCGTACCCGCCACCGATGCAATGGGCACCTCCCCTTCCACCTCCTCCTCCGATGGATTGGGATCGTCAGTCGGTGTCGTCCAGAATCTCCCAATACTGAGGACCAGCATTGGGGTCGAAGGCTTCGAGGCCGACGCAGAAGCATCCAGCATTGCCTCCACCACCGATCCCGTCGGTACCGACCGATATAGCTCCATCGGTACCGTTACCACCTGTTTCCTTCTCGGAGCCATCAGAAGATTCCTCTAGCTCGGACGAACTCTCCACTCAAGGAGACGATGCTGACATTCCATCCCCTCCTCTGGATGTTGAGGCCGATCTTCCCATTTCGCCTTCAGAGGATGTCAAGTCGTATGGTGACCTTATCCAACGGATGGCTTTGGACCTCTCCATGACCCCCACCTTGGTGCCCCAGGTGGTAGATGACAATGTTTTTGATATTATGCAATCTGGCACATTATCCTCCGTGGCACTACCCATGACCAAGGTGATGTTAAGAACCACGAAAGAATCATGGGATCACCCTTCCTCAATACCAGTGTCCAATAAAAGACTGGATCACATGTACAAGATCCAAGAAACAGGGGTAGAATTTCTGTTTACTCACCCCAAACCGAATTCTCTTGTGGTCAACTCTTCCACCAAGGGAAAATCGAGCCGTTCTACTCTTTCAGGTAAGGAAGGGAAAAAGATCGATTCCATGGGAAGGAAATTTTATACTGCGGGAGCACTGGGCATAAAAGCCTCCAATTATGCTGCGTGCATGGAACGCTACCTCTGGAAACCCATGTCAAAGTTTTTACCTCACCTTCCTAAAGAATACTGCTCCCAAGCTAAGGGGATTCAGAATGAAGGAATGATGCTTTCCAGGCATCAGATTAGTGCTGTGAAGCACACTTTGGAGTCGGCAGCTAAGACTCTTACAACTTCAGTTGCATTACGCAGGCATGCATGGCTACGTTCTTCATCCCTCCCTTTTGACACTCGGTCCACTGTGGAAGATCTTCCTTTTGAGGGTGTCCGCTTATTTAGTTCAACCACGGATTCCGTGCTCCAAGAACTGGATAAAAGTATTAAGACATCTCGTAGCCTTGGAATTTCTCCATCACCAAAATACAGCAAGTCCAAGCAGTGGCCTCGGCAGTCATGGTCGCACAGGCCGTCATCTTCAAAATCTCCCACCGAACAACAGTGGCAGAGACCACCTAACTCCCAGTCTTGTTCCTTTGGGAACAAACCAAGATTCTTGCACGCCATGCAAACTAAGCACAAAACCCGTAAGAACCCTAAACAGGGCCTTTGACTCCCTGCCCGACATAATTACTCATCTTGCTCCGTTCCTCGATGCCTGGCGAAACATCACCTCAGACAAATGGGTGCTCTCAGTCATCGAATTTGATTACCTAATCGAGTTTCTTCAGGTCCCTCCTTTCTCCCATTTTGTTCAAACATCTTCATCCTCCGTCCTTCTTTGAGAATTTTTGAATGACCACTCTTCAGAACATTCTTCCACTCCTATCAACAACAGCTTGGATGGTCACCCTGGACTTGAAGGACGCGTATTTCCATGTATCGATCCACCCTTCGCACAGGTGCTTCCTCAGATTCACTATCAGAGGCACATTACCAGTTCAAGGCCCTCCCGTTTGGACTTTCTACGGCCCCCAGGGTCTTTACAAAAGTGATGGTCGTCATAGTAGCACATCTCCGTCTCAAAGGAGTACAAGTGTTCCCGTACATAGACAACTGTCTGCTAGTGGCAGATTCAAAGGATACACCCCTTCGCCATATCGATCTCACTCTGTCGACCCTTACTTCTCTGGTAGTCCTAGTGAATCTTCAAAAATCTATGCTTCAACCTGCAACCCGAGTGCAGTTCATTGGGGCCATCCTCGACTCCGTGGACGCACGGGCCTACCTACCTCTTCAGAGAGCGGAATCTCTTCGTCATGCAATTCAGATTCTGTTCCAATCAAGCCAGACCACAGCAGCTCATGGCGGCCACTACTTCGGTCCTCACGTGTGCCCGACTTCGCATGTGCCTGCTACAACTTTGGTTCCTCAAGAGATTCAAACCTCAGCGACATCCCCAAGACCTGCCTATGACGGTTCCCCCTCCCATCCTCCACACTCTTCAATGGTGGCTGTCCGAGGACAATCTGTTTGCAGGGGCTCCATTCCAAATTCCCGCTGCAACTGTGTTGATCACCACGGATGCCTCAATGTGGGGGTGGGATGCTCACTTGAACGGGATGTGTGTAGGGGCGCAGTGGGAACCTCAGTTCGCGAATCGCCATATCAACTACTTGGAGCTTCTGGTGGTATATTATGCCCTCCGGTCATTCCGTCATACAGTAGTGGGGGAAGTGGTCATGATTTTTACAGACAATACCACTACGATGTCCTATCTCAATCGTCAAGGGGGCACGGTATCCAGAGCGCTTTGCCGGTTAGCCGCAAGCATCTGGGAAGACTGCCTCAAGTGGAACTTAGTTTTCCGGGCTGCCCATTTGCCGGGACTCCTGAACGTCCAGGCAGACTTCTTGAGCAGAGGGGGAGCAACAGAACACGAATGGGAACTCAATTGGAAGTACCTTTTACCAATATTTGACCGCTGGGGTCATCCACAAATAGATGTTTTCGCGACTCGCGACAATGCAAAGTGCCCTCTGTTTTGTTCAAGAGCAGGGATCGACCCTATGTCACTGGGGGACGGCCTTCTGATATCTTGGACGCCCCATTTCATGTTCCTCTTCCTTCCTCTCCTGCTCATTCATCGGGTCCTCATCAATGTTCCCTCTAAGCTGTGGAGTCTCGTGAGCAAAAATTCTACTTTGTGAGCTACTGGCATTAAAGTTGTGAGCGAGCGATTTGGCTACTGCATAAATTAGTTTGCTCTGGAGCCATCCTTCCTGAGCTAGGACAAAAATGTGTGAGCCGGAGGCTAAAAAATTGTGAGCTAGCTCACACTAACTCAGCTTAGAGGGAACACTGGTCCTCATCAAGATCCAGCAGGACAAACCCCGTTGTCTCCTGGTGACTCCGTGGTGGCCCCGTCAGCACTGGTTCCCCCTGGTGCTACATCTATCCAGGGGCTCCTTCCTACACTTCCCTCGGGTGACGGATCTTCTTCTAGCCCAACGGGGGCAGATTCTGCATCACGATCCTCTGAGTCTCAAGTTAACAATCTGGAACATACTCTTTCCGTAATTAGTGACAGGATAGACAACGTCCTTGTCAATGTCCTTGTCGCAAACCCTCCACTAGAACTTCGTATGATGGGAAGTGGTCGAAATTTCTGGATTATTTGGCATCCCTCCAGCTGCCTCCTCCATCGGATTTGAGGTCAATTTTTGGTTTTATTTTGTCCAGGCTGAACATGGGACTTAGCTTTTCCTCCGCTAAAGTATACTTAGCTGCGGTGTCAGCTCACCACCCGCTTATAGACGGGTTTTCAGTTCTTTCTCACCCGCAGACAAAGCAGTTCTGCAGAGGCCTCATCTGACTTTACCCTCCTTTTCGTGAACCTACTCCGGTGTGGGATCTGGCTTTAGTTCTCACCAAATTGACTGGTTGGCCCTTTGAACCTTTGGCCACCTGTAGTTTAAAATTGTTATCTTTGAAGACAGCATTTTTAGTTGCTATCACCTCTGCTCGTAGAGTGAGTGAATTGTCTGCGCTCCGATGTGATGCTCCTTATTTGAGTTTTTCCCCACATGGGGTTTCATTGGCTTTCGACATTTCTTTTCTACCTAAAATTGTGTCAGTTTCATTTATGTGCTGACATCGTTCTCCCTACGTTTTTTTCGTCTCCCTCCAATGAGGAAGAACGCAGATTGTATTCTCTGGACGTTAAGAGAACACTCTTATTTTATTTGGGCAGAACTAAGTCTTTCCGTAAGTCTCCGGCGCTGTTTATCGCTCACAGTTTACCTTCCCAGGGGAAGAAGCTGTCTTCGCAGCGCCTCTCTAAATGGATTGTGGAGACCATTAAACTTTGTTATACGCTGGCACAAAAGCCGCTCCCTGGACAGCTTCGAGCTCATTCCACGTGGGCAGTGGCAGCGTCTATGGCTTTCCTGCAAGGTGCGTCACTGGAAGATATCTGTAATGCCGCAACATAGGCTACTCCTCTCACCTTTGTGAAACACTATGCCCTTGATGTACGGTTCAGCCGGCGTACGGCAGTGGGTCGAGCGGTGTTGCAGATGGTGCAGATGTAGGGCCTTGGCCCCTCTTCCAGGTAAGCGTTTACTGCTTGCTAGTCTCCCAACGGTGTGATGCACAGAGACCACGAAGAAGATAGACAGGTTGCTTACCTGTAACTGGTGATCTTCGAGTGGTCATTTGTGCATTCACACCACCCGCCCTCCTTACCCTCTGCTCTCGGCCCTTCATCTTATTCTTTGGAGGCTGTTGGGCGGTGGTTAGAAGGAACTGGCGGGATCTGCGTGCCCCTCCTTGGTCATGTGCAGTGGAGCCCGGCACGTGACCAGGGAATGGGCGCGAAAATCCCTTTTGCTTTCTAACGATACCGAAGAGGGTCAGTGCAGGCGCTGGATATCCCAAGGGTGTGAATGCACAGATGACCACTCGAAGATCACCAGTTACAGGTAAGCAACCTGTCTTTCCTGCATCAGAGGCTGCGGAGTTGGGACGACAACAGTGTTGGGAAGACAGCCATGTGGATATCCTGAGAAAGGATTGAGATTCTGGAAGGTGGCCATCTCATGGGAGCTCTAGACAGAATGGCATCCCGTCCCTTTGCAGAGCGTGAGATTCAGGGTTTTATTGATTTATTAAACTTATATCCTGCCCTACCCCATGAAGTAGGCTCAGGGCGGCTTACAACATGTAAAACAACAATAAAAATCAGTATTAAAACAATTCACCCGTTATCCAATCAGAACCGATAGGACAGTTTAAAAGCAGATGGCGCTAAAATGAATAGTCCACACCTCCAGTAAAAAAAACGTTTAAACAGATGGCAGGAGTATCCTAGTATACAGCAGTGCTCCATTGGTAGTAAGCAATACCTGGGGGCACTGGCTGGGTACCATGGGTAGGGGAGGCAGCTGTTGAGACAACAACTGATGTGTGGCCCTGGAATTTAAGTGGGCCTCTTTGTGGGCTTGGCAGAGAAGTCTTGAGCCTCTCCCTGCCTTCCTTCTCTTTTCTGATGTTTGCTTGCTGCCCTCAGCTGGGGGGGGGGTAAGGTCCCCAGTCCAGAGGTCACAGAATTCAGATGCTGGGAGGAGGGGCACAGCAGGTCTTCCAGACATCCTGCTGACAGTGGGGAGCTTGGCTTTGCACCACGGCTGCTAGCTGAGCTGAAGCCAAGGGGGTCCCTGTCCTCCCGCAGAAGAACGAATATCCGTATGACCCAGAGAACTACAGTGTGGGGCTTTCTGCTGCCCGCTGTTTGCATTCCCTGTAAGGAATTTAGGGGCAAAATGCTGCCATGAGATTCTTTGTTTGTCTCAACATGATGGCAGCAGAAAGAAATTGGAGAATGTCTGCCAGGAGTCCTGGAGGGGGTGCTGGCTGCCTCTTCCTTGTCACGACTCTTAGCTTCTCCAGCTGAGGCCAGTGCTTCATTCCTTCCTTTTCTAGACAAAATGTTCAGGAAGATGGAAAAATTTCTTCTTCTTCCTCTTCCTCCTCCTCTTCTTCTTCCTCGTCATCTTCGTCCTCATCATCTTCCTCTTCTTCTTGCCAAATCAAGTTGGGTAGCCACGTTAGTCTGTCTGTAGCAGTAGAAAAGAGCAAGAGCAAGAAAAGAGCACTTGGAACCTGCAAGAAGTGGCCATGGGAGCATGATGTGATTTAACCATGGGGGGGGGGGGATCCCAACAATAATACATGCTTGGCCATGGAACCCAGGACAGTGGTGGCTCCTTGTGTGAAAGATTTCACAAGAAACGGCTAGGTTAGCCTCTGTGGTGGATGTGTTAAGGGTTCTCTGACTTACATGAGCTGGTCATTGGGGCTCTATCTACATCTTTCCTTTTGAAAAGCAACATTTTGCATTGAATTTAGGTGAGATGTTGGTTTTCACTCTCCCCCCATTGTGACATTATTTCCCTCGCTTTTGGTGAGACAAATTGGTGGTCTTCTTGGGATTGGGTTCACACAACAGACTTTTCTGCATCTGTCTGGGTAGGTTCTGTGTCAGAGAACAGCTCCACATGCACGAACATGAATTGGCTGTTGTTCAAATTCCCTGAATATGAGCTGGGCTGCTTTGCCCAGAGACCACTTAACAACCCCTTATGCTTGTTCCTTGCCAGGGCTCTGCCTCATCCACACTAAGCTCTCTGAAATTCAAGAAGCCAGACCAGCAAGGTAAGCGACATGGCTTACCTTTCCCTCTTAACAGTGTGGTGGTTCCTCTCCCTGACATAGCACATGAGCCTGTCCTGTTTCCACAGCTGGTGGGCCTTGGTCAGCTACGGAATCTTTATGGTTACTCTTGGAGCATTTATCTTCGGACAGACCACTACCCATGCTGTCTTCGTGGACCTCACAAAGTGATCCCTTCAACTCCACCCTCAGAAGATGAGTGCTCCCTCAACTGTGGACATAAAGGGAAACCTAAGAGAATTATGCGCCCAGTCCCTGGGATCTCTTAGATTTCAATAAAAGAGGATTTCCCTTTCCATTTCCCCTCCTGAAATGGAACAGGGCAGATATGAGAAAGATTCTACAGTTTTGATTTCATCTAATGACTTAGTTGCTTTTCTATGAACCGGCGCAAGTCTATTCACCAAATGTTTTCAGGAGATCTTCCTTTCAGGAGATCTTCTTTTGTTCTGCCTTACCTTACACATAACTTGTGTAAGAGAATCCAGAATGGTTACTACACAAACATTGGACTGTATTTATTTAGCCAACAGGCTCATACTTTGTAGCATTACCAATGACATTACAAAGCTTGTGTATTTGACAGTGAGATTATTACTGAAGGGACAATGAATGTTATCACGTAAAGAGAACTGGGAACAGAGAACTGCGGCTTAGTTGCCCAAATGAATGTGTGCTTAAAATCGGGGTGGGGGGGAGGCTTGTAATCTTTTTACCTTCTGCATATGAAAAAGAAGGTTCCTGAAGAGAGAGAGACCTTGAAAGATAATGGGAAATTTGAATATATTTAAGGGCATCTCCTTGGGCTAGGATTCACACCATTGCGTTTCTGCCGTAGCACAGTCGCTAAGGCAGAAGCACAGTCACACTCTCCAGGTGCACAGAATCCTAGTGGTGCAGTAATCTGGGGATCTGAGGAAGCGATCAGGATGTTGCCGGGGGAAATGCGGAAAAAAGATGGGTCTTTTTATGGTACAGGTTGATTTCCTGTGGGTTTTGTTACGGGGGATGGAGGAGGACTGGGGAGAACTCCAGTGCAGGCTCAGAGGTTAGGTGATTGTGTGCCTCTGTACTCCATGTCATGCCTGTTAATAAGTTCAGCTAATCTTTGAAGTCTCTCTCCTTTTCTGGACTGGTTCTTTCCAGTCCCACCTTAACCTGGTCACTCAGAAGCCTGCTTCTCAGCTCCCCCCCCCCTTGAGCCAGCTATTTTTAACTAATTCTGATTGTTTTCAGAACTCATGAGCCATTCTTGGCTAATGTCTGAGCTGGTAGCAGAACTCCAAGTCTACATGTCCCCGTGTTCTGTGTGGTGGGACATTCAGGAGTAGCAGCGGCTCTGTCCAGCTGAGGTGCTCTCAATATGTCAAATTCAAGTCCTTTGTATTTTATTATTTTGCTTGTGGTTCAGAGCAAGTTAACTTTGGGTTTTTTAAAAGGGACAGGGTCGTTCATAATGAAAATAATTAAAGAAACCCACCACTTTTGAATGGTTGTGAATTGGTGTCTGTTGGAAAATGGGTTCGTCTCCCTGTTGAGGTTGCTGTGTCCCAAGGCTGTGATCTCCTGCAGAGGGAGGGTGCTGTGTCCATAAGCGACAGAAGTTACGTTTTCCCTGCCTACTTGACCCACCTGTGCTCAGTTTCCTTTCTACTCTTAGGATCTCTCAGCTTGTAGCTCACCATTAGTCAGGGCTCAGAAGTAATGGGTGAACAGTACTGTAGTGGGAGTAGAATCGTAATGATTCCAAGACCTGGACAAGGTGGCTACAGGAAAAGCAGCTGGTACCAGCAGAGAATGCTGGGAGGAGGACAGCCCCCGGTATGACATTACATTACATTTATTTATTTAATTCGGTTTATATCCCGCCCTCCCCGCCAAGACGGTGTTAGACCCCAAATCAGGAGAATAGATCCACGTTCATAAAGAAGCAAGATTTATTTCCAAAGCATGGTTGATCATGAACATACAGAGATTGTTAGGAATAACTACAATACCCAGGGAAGGTGTATTAAAGGAACTTCAAACAAGGTTTAAACCAATGAGCTCATTTCCCTCGTTAGGTTACAGATTAGAAAAGGCGCGAAGCAGCCTGAGAACAGCAACGGCCAGTTCCATAAACACAAGTTGAGTTCACACGGGAAACCTAAACAAGCCAGAGCGTAAAGACACA